GATCAGCCAGATTCAAGATTTATGGTCTACCTTGTTGGGCACTTGGCGCCCATTCTCAGAAGTAGAGCTCAATTGCAAAACCTGCGGAGGGTGGATCGAAATTGGGAAAGGCTGTTAGCAGCAGTTCCGCCGCATTGGCGTCAGTTGCTGGGTCCAGAAGGTATCGACCCAGCGGGGACATGGTACCTCCCGGCCACCCATACGAGCACGGAGGCAGTGTGGAAGGTAAAAGGCATCACACAAAGCGGCTTCAGGAATGTCCAAGTTTGGAAAGTCGAAGAGCGGCCCTCCACGAAGCTGATCCAAATCGCAGAGGAGGAGGTGAAAAGCTGGACAACCCCCCCACAAATCCGGGTTGTGGAGAGCGCAGACAAAGGGAGGGATAGAACTCTGTATCGGTGGGTTGGTAGGGTACCTCTCAGGGATCTGATGATAGATCCTGTTGCATGGCAATGGACAGGCAATAGCTCAGGTCCCATGGACTTGGTGTCCTTTTCTGCTGGAGACTCCTACAGAAGAGCAGACAGGAGAACAAGATATCCCGCCTCGGTGGCAATTGCCAGATGGAGTGAGGTCCTTCTTGATGATTTGCAGGGGCATGCGGCAAAATTCATAGAACTGGAGCACATTGATGGAACTCCCTAGCCCCAAACAAGCAAGCGTTTTATGACTTCTCTCGTTGTTAGTGACTCCGCGTCGTCAGTGTGGCTGGTGAGCAGGGGCATGGAGGTTAGCATGGGCTGTACTCGCTGCACCTGGCCTTTCGAGTCCACCAGACATGTCTGGTGGGATTGCCCAGCTTCAAAAAGAGTCTGGCAATGGTGGGCAAGGCACTGGAATCAGATGGGAGGGAGAGACGTAGAATGGAATGAGATGCAGGTGCTGCTGGTTTTTGTGCCAGAAAAGTGTACAGGTATGAGGGGCTGGGCTTACGTGGCTCAGGTAGCCAGAGTGGTCATCTGCTCTGCGATTTGGGCAGACAGAAACCGCTCTCATTTTGAAGGTCGTCCCTTTTCCGACGTAGAAATGAAAGCAACAATTAAAAAAGGATTAACAGCAAAAATATTGCTCCTTCCAAGTTCGGCAGAAAAAATGTCGTCCGTTCGAAGTTTCCTTTGCAAAAATTGAGGTTTCGTTGCAGCTTTATCGGGTTCCCATAGTTTGCCAGCAAAAATACCGGCATTTTGCCCAGTTTCACAGCAAAGGACCCCTAGGCCTCTGGCCTCAGGGACTCAGGGACTCAGCGTTCTAACCTCAGGCACTCAGACCGAGATGCCTCGGCCACGGCCGCGTGCAAAAAAAAAAAAAAAAAACAAGAAACGTGGCCGAGGCA